TTGAAATCCTAACACTTGCTGTGATGGGATCTGGAGGCGGGACCTTTGGAAAGAGATGAGGCATGAGAGTGGAGCCCTCTTTCCACGTGTGAGGATACAGTGAGAAGTCTGCAGCGTGTAACACAGAAAGGGACCCTCATTAGACCCCCCCCCACGCGGGCACCCCGATCCCAGATGTCCAGCTTCCAGACCCGTGAGAGAGAAATTTCTGTTGTTAACAAGCCACCAGTCTGCAGTTCGTTCGTTCTTTCTTTTTTTTTCTGAGATGGAATCTCGCTCTGTTCACGAGGCTGGAGTGCAGTGGCACAATATCAGCTCACAGCAACCTCCACCTCCCAGGTTCAAGTGATTCTCCTGCCTCAGCCTCCTGAGTAGCTGGGACTACAGGCGCGTGCCGCTATGCCTGGCTAATTTTTTGTATTTTTAGTAGAGACGGGCTTTCACCGTGTTAGCCAGGATGGTCTCGATCTCCTGACCTCGTGATCCGCCTGCCTCGCCCTCCCAAAGTGTTGAGATTATAGGCGTGAGCCACCACACCTGGCCCAGTCTGCAGTTCTTAGTGGTGGCACCTGAGTTGACCGAGATAGGTGTGGATTCTGAGACAGGCAGCAAATCCATTAGAGGGACCCTAAGTGGAGAAGGCAGGAGGCAGAAGCCAAGAGAAGTCGCTTCAAGGCAGGGAGTGGTGAAGAGGGCCATAGCAGGGGTCAGTTCCCGCCACAGGTGCCGAGGGGAGCCTGAGTCTCTGGGTGTGGAAGGTGCCGATCTGGAAAGGGCACCCAGGCTGGACATACCCTGGACACACCAGCCCTGGAGAACATCTTCTAGCCTCACAAGGCTGGCCTCGGCAGCCACGGGAATTCCCACCTCCTCCCCTCCTTGGGTATCCTTACTAGAATCCCTGTTCTTTAGGAGGTGGGGTCCCAGCACTTCACTCTAAGAATCGGCAGCAGCGGGGAAAGGCAAAGCTGCCTTGAAGTCTGCTATTGTTAAAAATCCATGGCAGTGGCCCAGCGCGGTGGCTCAAGCCTGTCATCCCAGCACTTTGGGAGGCCGAGGCAGGAGGATCACTTACAGTCAGGAGTTTGAGATCAGCCTAGCCAACATGGTGAAACCCTGTCTGTACCAAAAAATACAAAAATTAGCCAGGTGTGGTGGTAGGTCCCTGTAGTCCCAGCTACTCGGGAGGCTGAGGTGGGAGAATCGCTTGAACGT